CAAGCATAGTTTTACACATTTCTATTAGACCTTTTGTACAAAAACGTAAATTGCTGAATCGTGCAGGTGAAATTAACCCTCACTCATGAAGGAATGTAAAGTGTTAGTTCAACCAACAATCAACCAGTTGTCTAAATTGCTCAAAGGTGCATCTCATGAAGAATCAATTGGCAAGCATATATAGACAGACCACAACACAGAGTTGCAATTTTCCAATAATGGATGGACCAGGAAACGAACAGGGTCAACAGCCAAGAGGAGGAAGAAGAGGAGCAAGGATGCATGGTGGAAGGCAAAACAGAGGAAGAGGCAGAAGAGGACATAGGCGCATATCTGATGACATAAGGGCCACTATTGTAGACCATGTTGTCAATCATGGCCTTACAATGGCTGAGGCGGGTCGAAGGGTGCAGCCGAATATTGGGAGATCAACCGTGTCCTCAATAGTACAAACGTTTCGAAGAGAGAACAGGTATGTCCACCAATGTACAGTGCACTGTTACTGTATATAAGCAGTATACTGTATACTTCCTACAATGCTTCATATTACAGTAGTCCACTTGTATTTCACAGCATACAGAAATATACTCTATACAGATACATACTGCACCTTACATGCACCCACCTTTATGTTTTACAGTAAAATGTGTGTTCGCATAGTTTTTGTCTATGTGAAAGTGTGCGATGCATCACTGCATTTTTCCACACATAGGACTGCAAGATTACCTCAAACCGGTGGCAGAGGACGCCTTTTCACACCTCAACAGGAGGAGGCTATTTGCACCATGGTCCGAGCAAACAATGCCATGAGACTCAGGGAAATACAAAGGACCATTATAGAAGACAACGATGTCTTTGAAAACATCCATACGGTTAGCATCTCAACCATCGACAGGGTGCTGCATAGAAACCAGATGAGTATGAAACAGCTGTACCGTGTACCATTCCAAAGGAATGAGGACAGAGTTAAGGAGCTACGGTACCAGTATGTACAGGTAAAACATATATCTATGTAACTACTTTACAGCAACATTTTATAGTGTTACATAGTACAGTAAGCATAAACTGCACACATTTCCATTGCTGTGGAAGGAACATGCAATATATGTACATTTTATGTCACTCTTCCTTACCAAAACAAATTCAACTGTGTGTTCTGGGATATAGCGTATAATGGAGTTGGAATCAAGTGAACCCTCTCACAACTTTGTATACGTGGATGAGGCTGGCTTCAACCTGACCAAATGCAGAAGGCGGGGTCGGAATATCATCGGTCACAGAGCTACTGTGGATTTGCCAGGCCAACGGGGAGGAAATATCACCATGTGTGCTGCTATTTCGGAGCATGGTGTCCTAACCCATATCCCCCTTTTAGGGCCATACAACACCCAGCATCTACTCAACTTTTTAGAGACTCTCTACAGGGCTCTCATCCCTGATGATGAGAGGGGTCTGTTTAGAGAGGATTTGCCAAAGTATGTGGTCATTTGTGATAATGTGAGTTTCCATCGATCAAACATCATAAGGCAATGGTTTGTGACCCACCCGAGGATGCTCATAGAATTCCTCCCACCTTATTCACCATTCCTTAACCCAATTGAGGAGTTCTTTTCAGCATGGAGGTGGAAGGTGTACGATCGTCAGCCACACACACAGATGACCCTGCTGGCTGCAATGGATGCAGCATGTGAGGACACCACAGTAGACGCCTGCAGAGGATGGATAAGGCATTCCAAAAGATTCTTTCCACGTTGCATTGGAAGGGAAAATATCCGGTGTGATGTGGATGAGAATATGTGGGCTGACAGACAGGAACGTCTGGATGTGTAGAGACAGCACTAGAACAGTGCTGTGGGCAAAGTTGTGCCTTAGGGGTGGTTTCCTGTGTTTCTTTCTAATTTAGTTTTTTTTTCCTTTGTGCCCCTTGGGTTGTCCAGTCTCTTTCAATCAATAACCCACATACAGTAATATGTAAATAGTACTGTTGAAATTGATATATGCCATAGAAGTGCAGCCTTGTGCATTTTCAATACAGTAACTGTCATCCAAACTGTAGCCTAAGTTTACATAAGGTAATACTGTCAAAGTACACAGTTCCATTGACAACATGCCTAAACATTTTGACAACCTTGTTCGTGAACAATGACTCAATGACTTATCATTCTGATGACACTGACATGATCATTGGCATGAATATTTACTTTTGAGAGATGTACTAAGGATTTTTAGTGACTGACTAGCTTTAGAAACATATCTATTGTATATTGCAGTTTGTACAAATTGTTCTGAGAAATGCACTTATTATTTTGCACATGTTAGGGATGATGTGAAAAATGCACCAAAGCGACTGAGAAAAACTGTAATAGGATGAACTGGTCATGCAACAAACTGACTAGGAGAGAGGAATACGTGGTATTTGCCTTTAAGCAAAAAGTGCACGTCACATTGCCATCCCATCTACTTCGGTCTACTTCATACGCTTTTATAACCCTGTACATAATGGTTATAACGACTTTAACCTCGTTTCAATAAAGTATTTGTTATAAAGTTTTTAGGCTATAACTATCTATATAATAGCCTACAATATTTGTCGATAACTTTTACAAAGCTAAATGCAGATTACATTATGTTATGAATGGGAACCATTGTAAACATGTTGCCAACGTGTCCACCACCAGTTTACCTCCTGTACTTTGTTGACAGCAGTCTAGACTACGTGCACATTTTTTAATATCTAACAAATCATTCTATTCGGTTACTATTCAATCCATCTATTCATTTGCAGAACGTTACTCACCTAAGACTGTTACAACTCTTCGTTTATACGGCTATTAGTAACAAAATCATTGGATACTTTGTGTATGGTTCTGCCAGGGATTCAGTGTAGCACTCGGCTTGTGTGGCCTACGTAATGACATATGAAGCCAAACGCAAACGCCCCCATCACGTGATATACACATTCAATGAGTAAAAGTGTGTCATTTTATTCTCACTATATCTTTCAAGGGAGAAAAACAGTCTGAATAATCATTCTTATGAACATCACACCATGAATGTAGTATGTCAGTGTTCTGATAATTTAATATCTGATTGAGAAACTATACGGTGCTGCAACTGCATTCTCTTTACTGCCCCCAAATGGCATGATGTGTAACTTTGACACGCTAGACATCCTAAACCCAGGGGCCCCTAATAGGCAGAGCGATTTTATTTGGCCCCCTAAAACGGTCAAAACCTTATTATTCTTTTAAAATCATTTTTTTTCAGGAACCCAGCTCAAAGTGATTTTAATTCAGGAAATCTGTTCCCAAGTATTCCCACATTAATATAGAGGCATATGTGAACGTATCCCAGTGTAATCAATGTTTGAAATGACTCTATTTTTGTCAAATTCTTTATCTGTTTGGGGTTATTGTGGTTAATTTGCAGTGTACAAATTATTTATAACTATGTTCCAGATCCCTGACCATCCGCTCAACAAAGAAATCGGCCCGCGGCTGAATGTAATTGAGGACCCCTGCCCTAATCCCAACCCATGGATGCATTGGCTTCTATTTCCAGCTCCTCCTGAAAGGATAGTCAAATCTGGGTGCAGGTGCATGGACAAACATTGGCCAAAGGCTATACACTACAGCAGGGGTTTTCAAATTTTTCTTGCCCAGGGACTCCCACCAGGCAAACCGGTGAAATTCTACCATGGAGCTGTGAAAAAATTTAGCAATTTTAAAGCTAATTTCCAGCAATTCTACACAGTTTGGCATAGAGCTGTGAGACAAGCAAAATATCTGCAATTCTATGCATTTTGCCATGGCTAATGCTGTGTTCCTCAGCTCAAACATAATAAGAAAATCAATGGGCATGTGCCCTGAATACCCGTTTTTTGGAATTTCGATTCTCCCTTACTGTCTAGCTTTTATTTGATTGTTAGTTCTCAAAGATGTTATTATTTTAAAATATATATAGTTCAATATGTTTTCTCCATGCTTTCTATCTGGTTTTGGTCATTTAAGTTGACACTGAAACTACTATTTTTCCATCCCGAAAATTACCACTTAGATGTCCTGCCAAATTTTATATACAGAAAAAACCCTGTAATTAGCTCCAATTACTGTAATTTCCTTCATATTAAAGGGATATTTCGAGATTTTGGCAATGAATCCCTTTGTCTACGTCCCCAGAGTCGGCTGAACAGGAACAGCTAGCATGCTAACTGTTCCTGTAGACTTCCAGTCATTGCACTAATGCTAGTTAGCATTGCTTGTGAAACTACCTCTAACTTCCTTCATACCGGACGCAGAGACATAAATGTTTTATCCACGATGGTATTCTGTTGCAGCTAGTGATATTCATAAAATAAATATTTTTCACCCCCCCTAATTTTTTAATAATAATAATATCAAAAATAAAACATTGCGGACCCCCTGCACTATCTCCGCTGGACACTTGGAGGGCCACAGACTCCAGTTTGAAACCCCTGCACTACAGCACATGACATGTAGCCTGCAGGCTGACAGAAAATATAGGTCAGGAGTATTTGATACAAATATTGTCATATTTGTCATTGCCAAAACTCAAGGCTTAGTGTAAGGTTTTCATTAGGCAAGCACGTCACACAAGCTGTAAACTCACACTCTGGGAAATATTTGAACATAAGAGCTTGGTAGGTCACACTCCATCTCATTTCAACATTTAATAACATTATTTATTAGCTCAACTACATGAGGGTGATACACTAAACCAGTTCAAATCATTCTAGCCCTCCTCTGTTTATTGCTTTTAGTGCCATGATAATTTTTCTACTCAGTCTGTGACTTTAAGATATTTACCGTAGGACGTTCTGTACAGCTATAAGTACTGTAGGCCTACAAAAGGTTACTGATTAAGGAGACAAATTCCAGGAAGGCGTATATGCCTGGCAACATGTGAACATAACATATCATAATCTCAATGTGTAATTGGATGCAGGCTTATCAACACACATGACCATTTAAAACAATCCTGCTAATCCCTGTTCTTCTCAACCACCTGCAGACAGTTTAGGTACTCTCTGAGGAGCTGTAGGATACGCACACCACATACAGCAACTGAAAAATGGCAGCCGTGGACAAAGATGTGGCCGAGAAGTTTCTGGACAGCAACCCTGACTTCGCCAAGCAGTACTATGATGCCAAGTTCCGCCCAAAGGTCATCTCTGACCTTTTTAAAGACAACAAGACTTCCCAGGTGAACATCAGCAGCTTCCATGAGCTGAGCATGGTGGAAGAGAGTGAGATCATATTTGACATGGTCAGAGACCTGCAGGACAACCTCCAGATGGAGAAGGCCATCTTTAATTTCATGAAACATCTCAGCTTCATGATTCGGTCAGACAAGATGAGCCTGTTCATGTACCGGATGCGTAACGGCACGGCCGAGCTGGCCACGAGACTCTTCAACGTGCACAAGGACGCCACCTTGGAGGAGTGCCTGGTCCAGCCGGACAGTGAGATAGTCTTTCCCATGGACATTGGCATCGTGGGCCATGTAGCCACCACCAAGAAGACTGTCAACATTCCAGATGTCTCACAGGTAAACATATAAAGCTGTAGATCAATTGTGGAGAAACCTTGCAATTAAATGTTCAAATTCCCAATACAGGTAAGAACCTAATCACCACTTTACAGTTGACCTGCCAGTTTGTGTTATCTTATACAATTGGACATGTTTATTTCTATGAAATGTAGCAAATATGAAGTATTCCATTCCCCTGAAGAGATGAGAGCACCAGTACTGACAGATTCAGAGGCCTACTTGCCTACTGCCTCTAGATGGCAGCATAAGGCCATCATATTTGTAATACTAACTCCCTCAAAGCCAGGTCAATCTTATTAGAGCCAATACATTTTACATTTGAAAATGATTACCAAGCTTATTTTCATACTTTACATGTTTGTCACGCTACTGCTTATCCTCAGTGGATGGCCATCATTGTCCATACCTTTATTAAAATGATTTATGTGACCTAAAACTAATAAGATGATGCTGTTTTCATATTAAACCATGCACTGCCTTTGATTACAGATTCTTAATATCCACATCTAGAATCTTGTTATTCATTTGACCAAATAGCGCAAACACTCACAGATAATATATCCTTTATCAAAATAATAACAAAGTAATACAGCCAAAGTATCATCATGATTAGACATTTTTTCCTATAATAGACCTGCTCAAATGTAGCATTGTTTGTGAAATAGAGACATATGATGACTCAACTGATATCAAGGATTACAGTGTCCAACCACTGAGAGAGACTGCTCAGTTCACTCTGGTGTAGTTGGCAGAATTATTTATGGTAATTAGGGAGAGGATGGATCGAGCTCTGGGTCTTCCCTTTCCCTAGTGAAAGGCAGAGCCACCATTACTGCGATATGTAAGTATGGTGTGGGATTGCCACGACAAGGCAGTCCCCTCCCCCGCCAGTCAGATGTGCAGGGAGGCATGGCTGCTGGGTGTTACAGGGCCTGCAGGGGATAAAGCCGTTTAATCTCAGCTGAATTAGAGCGATGCTGGATTATTTCTAAAGGTCATAGCCCAAAGCCATTTTCCCCAAGTCAGCGGAATAGCAAGAGCTCACCTTAATTCTATTGAATGTCACCTGTAATGTCCTTTCTCCTTTAATCCAGATGTTTTTAATCATGATACATATTCTCCAGTCAAGAATAGCCCACAATGACACTGAGAGAACAAACCATTCTTATCGTTAGATGATATGATAGTGAATTAATTTATACTTGGATTAATATGAGTCTCCACAAAAGCTTTAATGTTTTTAACAATGCAAATGTTCCCCTCCCTTGGTAGTGTTATCGAAGTTAGTTTTTACATAATCAAATAATAATGTGACTTTTCTTTTTTACTTTGCGTCTAGGGATTCACTGTGACATGCAAGTTAGATGATCTCAATAATGGATTTATGGTCAAAAGTAACAATTAAATGTAACAGGATGCAGCACATTGACAGATGTTTGTTTATTAAAAACCTTTCTCTGGATTACCCCTCAGAGCAGCCACTACAGTGACTTTGTGGACCAGATCCAAGAATACCAGACCAAAAGTGTCCTGGCTACCCCCATCATGAACGGCAAGGATATGGTGGCTGTTATGATGGCTGTGAACAAGATTGGAGCTCCACACTTCACTAAGCAGGATGAAGAGGTAACCTCTCTAACCCTACCCACTCCCCTCAGCAGGGGCGGACTGGGACCAAAAATCGGCCATGGTATTTCTAACACACCAGCCCATTCTTTTCCTTGAGGCCCCCACACCAGCCCACTTTTTTCCTCGAGGCCCCCACACTTGATGTTTTCTTCCCCTTGCAGCCCACATTATTAGCCAGATAATGATAACTTTGTGCAAACAACCCAAGTTAGACAGGCCCACTGGGCGAAAAATGGACCAGCCCATCTCCCCTGCCCCTCAGCCTCCTTATATTTACAGATTAGGCTCAGAAATACATCACTGCTAAAGTAAGACTGAATGTAGATGTTTTTGCACTTTACAGACTCTGTTGAAGTATCTCAACTTTGCGAACTTGATCCTCAGAGTGTTCCATCTGAGCTACCTTCACAATTGTGAGACCAGAAGGGGACAGGTAAGACCTCTCCAGATTATATTGATGATGAGGCCTGCTTATATTTCATTATTATTAAATGATGTACTTTTCCTGCTTGACTCCATAACTACACCTCCTCCCATCCTATAGGTCCTGCTCTGGTCTGCCAGTAAAGTGTTTGAGGAGATGACAGATATTGAGAGACAGTTCCACAAGGCCCTCTATACCATCAGGAATTTCCTCAACTGTGAACGCTACTCTGTTGGCCTCCTGGACATGACCAAGACTAAGGTGAGGTTGGACAGGAATTTCAATCTACTAAAAGCATCAGCATGCCAATGTTCAGGAACCACCATTATCTTGTCATGTTAATTTGACCTTCTATTATGTTTACTTCAACATGTTGAATTGATGTGGGTTAATATGTTCCCCTTGTATTTGAGTGTGATTCAATTAAATTACCCTGTGTGTTGCAGGAATTCTTTGACCTTTGGCCTGTACTGATGGGAGAGGTGCCTCAATACGATGGACCCAAGACTCCTGATGGCAGAGTGAGTGACTAGTGACTAAACATTACAGTAGGCAAATTACCTGTACAGATCTGAGTCCATACACTGCTGTGTCCAATTATGTATTCATACATCAACTCAAACATGAATAGGGTAGTATACTTAATTTAATACATTATCAGTATTCAATCTGATTCTAATTACATGTAACTCATTTATCTCCAGGAAATAAACTTCTACAAAGTGATTGACTACATTTTACATGGAAAAGAGGAGATCAAAGTTATACCGTGAGTCATTTCATCAATGATGTGGAAAATTGAATTATATACCAGTACATTATCTTAGAATATTTATGTGCAGCTTTTACACCCTTATTATACAGTTACATTTGGGTGCATGTATTACTGAATTTTATTTGGTACTTTTTGAAATTACACATCTATAAACTTCTTTCCTTGGAACTTGGAAGAAATAGTATCATATTATAATCTCCTTCTCCCCCCTGTCCTTGTCAGGAACCCTGCTCCGGATCACTGGGCTCTGGCCAGTGGCCTGCCCACCTACGTGGCTAAGGAGGGACTGGTGAGCTGAGAAGTCCCTTACTTACTGAAGAATGAATGCATCCAATATATAGTGCACTACTTATGACCAGGGCCCATAGGGACTGTAGGTGTCACGATCGTCGATAGAAGTGGACCAATGCGCAGTGTGATAAGTGAACATACTTTTATTAGATTCACCACACGAACAAAACAACAAAACGATAACGTGAAGTCCTTGGTTACAATACAAAACCAACACGGAACATGATCCCACAAAACACTGTGGAAAACAGGCTGCCTAAGTATGGTTCCCAATCAGAGACAACAAGCAACAGCTGATACTCGTTGCCTCTGATTGAGAACCACCCCGGCCAACACAGAAACACATGAGCTAGATAATCAACCTAGAACCCAAAACACATAGAAACAACACACCCTGGCTCAACATAACAGAGTCCCAGAGCCAGGGCGTGACAGTAGGGTGCCATTCAGGATGCAGCCCATGTCTTCTCTTCCCTGTACGTGGTATCCATGGGCACCAGACAACCAGAAAGCCATTAGAGTTAATTACGCAGCTGTCAAACGCACACAGCCTGGGAATGAAATGTACTCTTGCACTGAAATGATGGATAATTGCAATTTCGTGGACATTGTAATTAATCGTGCAGCGCTTTTCCATCTGAGTGACCATGATCATCCTCTCCTCTCTTCCCTATTTCCTCTTCTCCCCTCCAGATCTGTAACATTATGAACGCAGCCCAAGATGACTTCTTCAGCTTCCAAGTAAGATCAGTTATCTGTATGATTAGCTCAGTGCTGTTGAATGCACACATTTTTGTTGTTGTTGTTTTTGTTTTTTTGTAACTATTTTTATTGGTATTGTTTCACAGTTACAGTGTAAACAATGATTGAAATTCAGTATATTGCACATGTGATTTTATACATTCAAATATACCATGGGAAAATACTTTTTGAAGGATGTTGGAATGTATATGCCCATACAAAAATATTAAAGACTTAAGTAACACTTTCCTAACAAAACACATAATAAACAACAACAACAAACCAAAACACGGCTAGTCTTCAAAATGAATAGAACAATTATAATAACAAGTCAGTCTAATATTAAACCCTAACAAAGGTAGATACATTAAATACAAACCTAGGGTAGGCAGTTTACTGTGGAGTAGATGGAAATTGCAGGTCTCTACATAGATAAAGAAAGGCTGCCACATTCGGTAGAATTTGTCAGAAGAACCCCGTAGGGTATATTTTATCTTCTCCAATTTGCTCAAGTGTTAGACATCTTTAATCCACACAAAATGAGAAGGAGGAGAGGGTGATTTCTACCGAAGTAAAATAAACCTTCTTGCCAACAAATAATTATGTCATGGCAGTAGGAGAAAAAGGTACCTGTAATACTTTAGATGTGGTATCAAATATGACAGACCAATAGTTATGTAGTGAAGGGCAAGACAAAAACATATGTATCAATGAAGCAGTAGCTTGCCGACACCTGTCGCAAACAGGGTCGACATCAGGATAGATCTTAAAGAGTCTGAGTTTGAATGCACAAATTAAAACAAATCTAATCTCTGCTACTGAAGGGGCTATAGTCCTGTGGCCAAGTGGAGTATCATTGTAGTAGATAGGCCTAGACACAATTGAAATAGATTGATCCTGATATTTCCAACACTTGGCAATGACTTACCCATACAAAGTACTGTAAATATTAGTTCCAAGTGCATTGCTGTGGACTAACACATTCAAAGTCAAGTATGTCAAGTTCAAGTAATCAAATATTGTGTTTGTACTGCTATGAACCCAATGCAAAGCCATTGACGTCAGGTGGTTCCTGTTTCCTTGTCCTGTTCAGAAAGGGCCCGTAGATAAATCTGGCTGGACCATTAAGAACGTGCTGTCCCTCCCCATCGTGAATAAGAAGGAAGAAATAGTTGCAGTGGCCACCTTCTACAACAGGAAAGATGGGAAACCCTTTGACGAGCAGGATGAAACTCTAATGGAGGTATGCTACTCTCGAGTGTTACTGAGGGGGAAGTAGAGCGAGGAGACTGAGTCACCGCTGTATAAATAAACACAGGCCATTGACAGTATCTGCATTATTTATTTGTTAGAGTCAAGCCTCTTTCTGGATGAGGGCTACTCTACTCTCATCTACTCTCCTCTACTCTTATCCACTCTTACATTAGGGATAGTGCCAGTTAACACATAATATAACTTTATAGAGCCTTTTGAAATATTAATCAATAACATTGTCAGTTACAGTAATCCATTAAAAAATATAGCTTCCCAATCATTATTGTACCGCATCCCCCTCTCAATCCCATTTGATAGTGTCTGTGTATACTGATTATGTAAACCAAGGTCTGAAATACAATAGTCTAACTCTATCGCTGGCCATTGCAGTCTCTTACCCAGTTCCTTGGCTGGTCTGTGCTCAACACTGACACCTATGACAAGTGGAACAAGCTGGAGAACAGGAAAGACATCTTCCAGGACATGGTGCTGTACCACATCAAGTGCAGGACGGATGAGACCCAGAATGTCTTGGTGGGTAATGTAACGTTATTCACACACAGGTGGTGAAAAACACATTTATAACATGGAAAATAGCCTGTCATACTAGATACGGGGTAATCAATCAATGGTGGAATGTTAGTTACCGTCTGTGAGATTTAGACAGAGAGCTTTTTACAGAAAAATAACCAAGGTTTTCAGGGAATCCAGAAATGGATTGATATAGCGTTACGTCATCCTAGGTGAACACTGATGGTGTGATTTGCTTTTAGAATACCAGAGAGAGGTATGGAAAGGAGCCACATGAGTGTGAAGAGGCTGACCTGGAAGCAATCCTGGTAAACAACTATTCCAAATTCCATTTATTTTCTATTTGCCTCTTGTATCAGCTGGCTGGCTGACTGGCTGGCTAGCTGCCTTGGTAGTCTACATAATGCACTTTGTTTCCCTGTTTCCGTACAGTCTGAAGTTCTACCGCCCTCTACCAAGTCAGAGATCTTTGAGTTTCACTTCTGTGACTTTGAGCACAGTCATTTAGACCTGGTCAAGTTAGGCATTAAGATGTACTACGAGTTGGGTGTGGTGGACAAGTTCCAGGTCCCCCGCGAGGTGAGACATCTCTGATGAACAAGCATCTTTGCAAGTCTCTTGGTCCTACTGTTACCAAGTCATGTTTTCCATTATAGATGCGTAGTTCTGCTCAATAGTGTGTAACAAAGCAACACTATACAATTCAGTCTTAACAATTGTATGAGTAACATTTAATAACTAAATCATGACAGTTTATGTTGGTTATAGGTAATGATCTGATATGATCCTGATGTGGAAGATGTTAGCTACTGTGGTTACACTGGCGTTATGATATGTGTTTCTGCTATAACTAGCTGATCCATAACTATCCCTATGTATGTTCCTCTCAGACTCTCACCAGGTTCTGTTACTCCCTGAGTAAGGGCTACAGGCAGATCACCTACCACAACTGGAGTCATGGCTTCAACGTGGGCCAGACCATGTTCACTCTGCTCATGGTGAGTACCTCCTCTCATCTACAGCTAACCAGCCTTCTATTACAAAAAGGGTATGTCCCAAATGGCACCCTATTCCCTTGTGTCCCAAATGGCACCCTATTTCCTATATAGTATACTACTTGTACTACACTCTATAGGGAATAGGGTGCCCTTTGTGATGTATTAGGCCTTACATTACACAAACCCTCAGGGATAAAAACATAACCTACATTACCATACACTTACACCATGGATGATGATACCATGACAGTTGATACATATAATACATATTCTAGATGTGGTGGCCAGGTGTAAGGGTTTATCTTTACTGCGTTGTGATCCTCCTTACACTGATACCCTCCTCCCATGTATTGTAATGAGTCATCCAAGCGTGACCCTTCCTCTCGCTGCATTGTTCCTATAATGTCTAATCACAGTGAACTCCTTAGACATTCATAACTCGCAGAGGAAGGAGGAGCAGGGAGGAGCATCAGGCTCATTATCAGCAGCCCTGCGTGGCTGTGTGGCTGTGTAGCTCGGTGGGTCCATGCTTCATTGGTTCTAATGAGGCCTACAGAGCCAGGCATCTCCATAGGAGCAGGCTGGGAGCGGCGTGGGGGTGGAGGGGGTGTCACTGCAAGGACATTAATAAGAGGCCCAGGTGTGACTCCGTACGGCCCCTGGGGGAAGCTCCATGAATCCTGGCCCTAACCTAATTTCTTGTATCATTAGACATGTGACCTAACCTAACTTTCTGTATCATTGCATTAGACAGGTGATCTGAAGCGTTACTACACAGACCTAGAGACCATGGCCATGGTAACAGCCGGCTTATGCCACGATATCGACCACAGAGGCACAAACAACCTCTACCAGATGAAGTAAGGGAATGACTGGGTTCAAATAGTGTTTGTTGTCTTTCAAATACTTTGAGTGTTTGATTTGAGCCTGTCTAGAGTACCAAAGTAAGCTGGAGTAAGCTCAATCAAGCTTACTCAGGTCTGCTGCCAACAGTGATACCTGGAAAGGTGTAAGGACAGCAACTGAGAAAGCAATGACTCGTTACTTACCAATGGCTAATCTATCTTTGCAATCAATCTCAATCTTCCTCTCCCTCCTCCTGTGTTTGTCAGGTCTGGAAACCCTCTCGCCAAGCTCCACGGCTCCTCCATCTTGGAGAGACACCATCTGGAGACTGGGAAGACCCTGCTGAGAGATCCTGTGAGTGAGGTTGCCTCCCAAATGGCACCCTATCCGTACATAGTGCACTAGTTTTGACCAGAGCCCATAGGGCTCCATTCAAAAGTAGTGTGCTATTTAGTGAATAGGATGCTATTTGGGGTGTAGCCTGAGCCTCTCTAGGTTCTGAGAGGGGTTGGTTTCTCTCTTGGAGAAGCCAGACTGTGAATGATGCAGTTCTGATGGCACAGAATGTGCCAGGGAGAATCTGCCCACCAGCCATCAGATAATTAGGCAACTTTCAGTGTTCACATTATCACCGACCATGAACTGTGGCAGGCAGCGGCTTCACATTTCCCTCTGGGAATTGGGATATTTTTTAGAGTGAATTATCCTAGGACTTTGTTTGTTATTCCTTATTCATACATTTGATATATTATACATATGTGTTGGTATTCCCAGATTCAACAGTACATGTTAATACTTATGCTATCACATTCAAACTTATCTTGATATCTGTTTCAGGCCTTAAATATTTATCAGAATCTAAGTCGTGCTCAGCATGAGCATGTCATACATCTGATGGACATCGCCATCATCGCCACCGACCTCGCTCTCTACTTCAAGTGAGCAGCTACTGCTGTATATCTAAGATATTTAAAAAATGCATGGCCCCATAATACATACAGTACATACCTGAGAGCATAGAGATTGCCGATGCATCCCAAATGGCACCCTATTCCCCTACATAGTGCACTTGTGTTGACCAGAACCCTATCGGCCCTGGTCAAAGTAGTGCACTATATAGGGAATAGGGTGCCATTTGGGAGGCATCCTGAGTCATGGTAACTGAGGATGATTTTCTCCTGTCTGTAGGAAAAGAACCATGTTCCAAAAGATAGTGGACCAATCGAAGACCTACGAGAGCTGGGATGATTGGACCAAGTACATGTCACAGGAGACCACTCGCAAGGAGATAGTCATGTAGGTGAATTCCCTAGCTGAGTAGTAGGCCTAGGCATATGAGGGTAGTAGTGCTCTATGGAGGAAACTATGGATGTCTTTGTATTATTTCACTTTTAAAACAAAACAGGGCAGAAACTAAGACTAAACAGAGCAGTAACTAAGACTAAACAGGGCAGAAACTAAGACAAAACAGGGCAGAAACTAAGATTAAACAGGGCAGAAACTAAGACAAAACAGGGCAGAAACTAAGACTAAACAGGGCAGAAACTAAGACTAAACAGGGCAGAAATTAAGACTAAACAGGGCAGAAACTAAGACTAAACAGGGCAGAAACTAAGACTAAACAGAGCAGAAACTAAGACTAAACAGGGCAGAAACTAGGACAAAACAGAGCAGAAACTAAGACAAAACAGGGCAGAAACTAAGACAAAACAGGGCAGAAACTAACACAAAACTAAGACAGGACAGAAACCAAGACAAAGATAAACTATGGATGTCTTTGCCTACAGGTCCAAGACCATACTAGACTTTAAAACACAATCCGTCATCAATGATGGTTTCACTAAGGTGTGGAGAAAAGAATTGTACTTCTGTCACAACTGCTTTTCCTACAGACCTTCGAACTGTAATCCTACTCACACTATATCTGTCCTCTACATGCACAGGGCTATGATGATGACAGCCTGTGATCTGTCTGCTATCGCCAAACCATGGGAGATCCAGAGCAAGGTAACGCCTCATGTCCACCAGATGCATCAAACTCTTTGCGTTCCGGCGGAAGTCATTCATTGTCAATGGAGTAGTCTCCAACGCTGAGTTGGGGGTGCCACACTAGGCTACGGTGCGCTCTGTGTACGGCATGCGTTCAATATTTTCCACTCGTGTGTTGCTTTACCTTGCGGTGGTACAAACGGAAGTACACACACAGACTCCAATTAGCTAGCTTTTAGCTGGTTGAAAAGGGAAGCACATGTGCGTCAAGTACGGAAAACGCGGATTTGAGTCCCTGGCGGCGTAGTGTGTTACTGATGGTAGGCTTTGTTACTTTGGTCCCAGCTCTCTGCAGGTCATTCACTAGGTCCCCCCGTGTGGTTCTGGGATTTTTGCTCACCGTTCTTGTGATCATTTTGACCCCACGGGGTGAGATCTTGCATGGAGCCCCAGATCGAGGGAGATTATCAGTGGTCTTGTATGTCTTCCATTTCCTAATAATTGCTCCCACAGTTGATTTCTTCAAACCAAGCTGCATACCTATTGCAGATTCAGTCTTCCCAGCCTGGTGCAGGTCTACAATTTTGTTTCTGGTGTCCTTTGACAGCTCTTTGGTCTTGGCCATAGTGGAGTTTGGAGTGTGACTGTTTGAGGTTGTGGACAGGTGTCTTTTATACTGATAACAAGTTCAAACAGGTGCCATTAATACAGGTAACGAGTGGAGGACAGAGGAGCCTCTTAAAGAAGAAGTTACAGGTCTGTGAGAGCCAGAAATCTTGCTTGTTTGTAGGTGACCAAATACTTATTTTCCACCATAATTTGCAAATAAATTCATATAAAATCCTACAATGTGATTTTCTGGAATTTCTTTTCTCAATTTGTCTGTCATAGTTGACGTGTACCTATGATGAAAATTACAGGCCTCTCTCATCTTTTTAAGTGGGAGAACTTGCACAATTGGTGGCTGACTAAATACTTTTTTTCCCCACTGTATGCATCTGGTGGACATCGGGCATTAACACAGATGTTTGAAGAATGAAGTCCTGCTGCTATTCTCATATTACACAGCACAATAACTGCAGCATTATACTGTTGCTCTCAGCAGAGGATGTGAGAGGAATATGGAATATCACAGTGTTCTTCAATTCCGGTCCTGGAGGGCCGAAACACCTCTGTTTTTCATCCTCTCCTTCTAATCAGGGGCTAATTCAGACCTGGGACACCAGGTGAGTGCAATTAACTACCAGGTAGAAATAAAAAACAGAGTGTTTCGGCCCTCCAGGACCGGAATTGAAGAACCCTGGAATATCATTTCTGTAATGGCGTTTTGCTCGTGAGGTCTGGATTGTATCAGGAGCAGGCCTTTCCTACTACAGTATCTATAAAATCTTAATAGAATATTTCCATACTAAGCAAGAGTGCACAAACCAATGTACTCTTGTTGCTATGGACATCATAATAGTTTCATAATGTTGATCAGTGTTGTGTGTGACCGTTCCTGTGTGGGCCTGCAGGTGGCGCTGTCTGTGGCTGCAGAGTTCTGGGAGCAGGGTGACCTGGAGAGGACTGTGCTGGAGCAGCAGCCTATTGTAAGAACTGCATGGAGGGAGGGAGAGAGAGAGAGATAGAGGGAGAGGGAGAGAGATAATTCCCATTGGGCATGTGGTGATGTATTGCCGATTATGAACTGCACTGAATCAGAAAGAGCGGTCATCACGGCCTAGTCAACTGGACCATATCCTGACTCACACCATTTTACCCAGCCAGCTCCCTAGGAGTTTAATAGCATTTGTGTCAGAATGGGAAACTTTAGTTTAGGTTTATTTGATTGCTTAAACTGGAGTAAGTAGAGCCCAGTTGTTGGCTGTTTGTTTCAGTACATTTGCACTACTAATCCCCTGATTCATTTCTTTCCCCCCAGCCAATGATGGACAGGACTAAATCAGCTGATCTTCCCAAGATGCAGTGTGGTTTCATCGATTTTGTGTGTGCTTTTGTGTACAAGGTGAATCCCTGCGTCTCTATCATAAATCAATAACTACTAGATGGCACTGAAGACCAATCAAAATAGATCTAACTAAGATTTTGAACTGAATGTTTTCCCTCCCTCCTCATCTACCGCCCTCTTGTCTCACACCTCCCCTTCTTCCCCTTTTCTCCCCCCTCCCACCTTCCACCTCCTCCCCATCTCCTCTAGGAGTTCTCCCGTTTCCATGTGGAGATCACTCCCATGCTGGACCGCCTGCTGAACAACAGAAAGGAGTGGAATGCTATGAAGGAGGTGCACGAAGCCAAGCTGGCCGCTCTGGAGGCGGCCAAAGTGGACAAAGAGGAGGTAGCTGTTGCCGCCACCGCAGCCATACAGGGTAAGACACACACACAGCACCAAGAGACACACAGACAGACACAGGAAAGACCAGGGATTAAGACTGTTGATATTAATTACACAGTGGAATTTATAACTTTGGTGAAGAACCTCATTCATAGTAACGACCATATCATTAAGAGGCGCTCCAAACGTCCTCTTCAGACATGGAGGAAACTACTAAGAGCATCTATTTTTTGGGGGGAATCCAAACATTGCAGACGATCTCTCAAAAACGTGGACTATCTCTATTTGAAACAATGTATAGCTTATGCTCTGGGGCTAATTAAACTTTATAAATGTGAGGTAAGGGCCCATATTCATAAAGCTTCTCAGAGTAGAAGTGGTGATCTAGGATCCGTTTTCCCTTTTAGATTATAATGAATACAAGTATATGGACAGGGAGGATCTTAGATCAGCACTTCTACTCTGTGACACTTTGTGAATACGGACCTTGTACTCTAACCCTGTGTTGTTCCATCTCTCACACAGCGAGTGCAGCCGAAGCAGCCCCCCAGTCAAAGACCTGTGTTGTCAACTAGACTAGAGAGATCCCAGTCCTGGACCAAAGTGACTGTTCTTCTCAGCACCAAGACAGGAACTTTCTGTCCCTGTACCCGATATCGGTTTACTAGAGCTGGTTAGCATTAGCCTAGCATAGCTTTACAGTATACTGCACTGTGCTGTACACTGACTTATATATGGAAGGAATTGTATCAGGCTACAGGATCCACAGGATGGAGCAGGGTGTGGACAATGTCAAACACAGCCTATTCTTGTACAATGAATGTGAATACTTAGGTATTTTAGTGGAATTTACAATGTACTGATTGTACTCGTTGATTAGGCAATATGAAATTGACTTAGAAATATGGAATTCAGCTAGAGAAAAAGTGGTTGGGTATCATTTCCAACAGCTAAACATATATGTAGTAACCCATCTTTGATTTCAACAGTGTATCCCTGTATTTCATTGATTCTATGCTACCCTATCCTATGGTTATTAATAATGTACATAAACCTGTATTCAACTCTCTGCACTGGTCCCTCACTGCAGAATTAAGTCTAGAGCATTAGCATCCACCCCCAGGATATAGTGTGCGTTACAGTGTGTGTGTGTGTGTGTGTGTGTGTGTGTGTGTGTGTGTGTGTGTTAACTGTCCCACTGGGGCCATACATAACAATCTTACAAAACACAGAACGATGCCCGGGAGGGTGGCAACCTAATTGAGCACAGAGAATGAGAACTGATTGGAAGAGGGGATCAGAAGGCGGGTTTTCCTTTCCTGTAGCGAAGAGCCGTGCGTCACCAATATACAACACTGCTACACACGCAGAAGTGAGCACACGTAAGCACTGTGCTAAGCACTGCATTGTAGTGTCGTCACTCGTGATGGTGACGCTGCTGCCTCTCTCTCTGTGTTTCACCAATAGGGGAGAGCTGCAGTCAGGGTTGCCCGTATAGGGCTGTGATGCGCTGTGATGCTCAGTGAGGCTCGTAGTGTCTCGTCCTGACACTAGGGCAGCGTAGCCGTGTAGAGGCTGAGGCTGCAGAGAAATGAGTGACATCCAGTTAGAGAGCATCACACTGATATGTGAACCACAGGCAAAAAGAGTGGAAAATTGGCCAGTGGTTCCTTAAGACAAATTTATATGTTAGTCATTTAGCAGACGCCCATATCCAGAGCGACCTACAGGAGCATTTAGGGTTAAGTGCCTTGATCAAGGACACTTTGACAGATTTGTCACCTAGTCAGCTCTGGGATTTGAACCAGCAACCTTTCGGTTACTGGCCCAACGCTTTTAACTGCTGGGCTACATGCCGCCCTAAATCAGTCAGTGTGTCCGTCCGTCTGCTAGGCTAGCTAGATATGTCTCCTTAGCAAGAATAACTGCTCAATGCTGACATTGACACTCTACACCAAGGGACCTCACCACCCCTTCCCCAAGCTACTCTATCAAAATAATGAATTATAGAATCATACCAAATATGCTTGTGTCACATGGGATGTTACTCTTTATAGAAAGCAGGGGGAATGGTAGATATTGCTTTGCTGTGTAAGCCTTTAAATAGAGAAATACCCTTTTGTTGCTTTCTTGTATTGTAATTACTGGTAGATGCAGGTCAAGAATCAGTGTTTTAGTATGCCTAGTATCAGTGGCCATGCAACAATGTGTCAATGCACTTTATGTATTGGCTCTGAATATGCAACACATAAAAAAGGATTGTAAAGATATGAATTCAACAATTTTAACTACTGCAGTTGCGTGTTGTCTTGTCCTTGTGGTGTAACACCGAATCATAGTAGCACAGTGATACTTGTAGACCTGCTCTACTCTATTTGCTCCAGTACAGTTGTGGTCAAAAGTTTTGAGAATGACACAAATATACATTTTCACAAAGTCTGCTGCCTCAGTTTTTATGATGGAAATTTGCATATACTCCAGAATGTTATGAAGTGTGATCAGATGAATTGCAAAGTCCCTCTTTGCCATGAAAATGAACGTAATCCCAAGAAAACATTTCCACTGCATTTCAGCACTGCCACAAAAGGACCAGCTGCCATCATGTCAGTGATTCTCTCATTAACACAGGTGAGAGTGTTGACGAGGACAAGGCTGGAGATCAGTCTGTCATGCTGATTGAGTTAGAATAACAGACTGGAAGCTTTAAAAGGAGGGTGGTGCTTGAAATCATTGTTCTTCCTCTGTTAACCATGGTTACCTGCTAGGAAACACGTGCCGTCATCATTGCTTTGCACAGAAAGGGCTTCACAGGCAAGGATATTGCTGCTAGTAAGATTGCACCTAAATCAACCATTTATCGGATCATCAAGAACTTCAAGGAGAGGTCAAATTTTAGGTCCATGGCCAGGAAACTCCCCAGATCTTAATCCCATTGAGAACTTGTGGTCAATCCTCAAGAGGCAGGTGGACAAACAAAACCCCACAAATTCTGACAAACTCCAAGCATTTATTATGCAAGAATGGGCTGCCATCAGTCAGGATGTGGCCCAGAAGTTAATTGACAGCATGCCAGGGCGGATTGCAGAGGTCTTGAAAAAGAAGGGTCAACACTGCAAATATTGACTCCTTGCATAAACTTAATGTAATTGTCAATAAAAGCCTTTGACACTTATGAAATGCTTGTAATTATACTTCAGTATACTATAGTAACATCTGACAAAAATATCTAAAAACACTGAAGCAGGAAACTTTGTGAAGACCAATACTTGTGTCATTCTCAAAACGTTTGACCACGACTGTACATGTGTAAAGTCTCAACCATTGACACATCAAATAACGCACAATTGATAGTATAATGTCCAAGGGCGGCAGGTAGCTTAGTGGTTAAGAGCGTTGTGCCAGTAACCGAAAGGTTGCTGGTTCTAATCCCCGAGCCGACTAGGTGAAAAATCTGTCGATATGCCCTTGAGCAAGGCACTTAACCCTAATTGCTCTGGATAAGAGCATCTGCTAAATGACTAAAAATAAATAAATAAATCTTCATGTTGTTCATTAGGATTTTATTTTTTGGAGGCAAATCAATAAAATATGTACTTTTTACAGTATATGAGGAACATTTCTACAGTTTAATAATGTAAACAATCTCTGAAGAGAAATGTATTCAGTTTAAAATGAAGCCACAGTCTTCATTTTGAAACTATTTACATGAATTAAAATATAATTTATAACATCAGATAATTTCCGCTATAGATAAATGTATCTATGAAACTAGATTTTAACAATTCAAATGTCCTGAAATGCATTGTCTCCACATTCTGAAGACATATGAAATCACACAAAACAGAAAAAGACACCATTAAAAGACATCCAAACTAAGTGGCTTATAAATAAAAAAGAATAAATGCAAAATAAAACCAACATATGTAAAAATATAAAATCTCACTAGCAGTATTTACTGTTTACCAAAACTACATTAAAAAAGGAAATCATTTTGTGAATTTTGATAGTCATTAGATGTAAATAGACAAAAAAAAAATCAATAGCAATAAATAAAAACAAGAAAAACAAACAATGTATGCCCTTTTATGTCAATTGTTCTTCCACCAAAGACCCGCTCACAGCTAGCTAGGTTGTGACAGTTTGCAGCCCCCAAAGTGGCCAATGACATCACATTACCATTATGTTATCAGATGTTTTCTGTGTGTTGACTGTCTGGGATACAAAATAACCTTTGATACACATGACTCAGGGTAGTAGTGCAGAAATATCCATTTACATCCAGAGTACAGTGAACAGTGGTGATTCAGGGGCCCACAGAGGACCAGTATTGCAAGCGTTTTCTTTCTATAGGGCGAGTTTATTAACATGGTGGTGAGTTTAAAGAGACATTTTCCAATGAAATGAAATCGGAAAATTTAAATATGTATTTGTGTGGACTATGTAGTTGGATAATGACATTTAGAAAATCAATCTGACAAGGCTCTCCGAATTCGATTTAAAGCCAACATCAAATATAGTTTTGGTCAACTTGCCTCAAGTTTATTTTTTGCCATTTTCTGAAATGAAGAGTGGGAAGACAGTATTGCATTCTGTTCTGACGAGGGTTGCCTTCGGAAGGAGTTCAATTCGGATAATCTCTCAACCTAACAAATCCTAGATTGACAGTAGTTGTTGAAATGTGCCGAAGTGCTCTGAAACACTGAGGAAAATGGTTAACATCAAAGTTTTCTATAAGAAAGTATATAATGATCTTAATATCTACACAAACACACAAATATATATTCATATGTATATATATTTATATACCTTTTATAATATGGCTGTATTGAAAAAAGTTTTAATAATAATAAAACACATAGGATTTGAAAGGAGATAAAACAGTAATATTAAAAGCTATAGTGATAGCATTCGTTTTCCCCTATTGTTTTAAGGCTCTCCTCATGAGAATCGTTTGTTGTCATTCAACTCTACTGATGTAAGCACGCCACTGGCATCAAGTAGTCTGAAAATTCAACAGGGGCTGAAAGCATAGTGACCGTTTTCTTTCCCTCTCTCCAAAATTAGAGTCATACATGTTCACAAGTTGCCAATCATTATACAAGTGTCCACTGAATTTCAACAAGTTTAACAACCTGTGTACCAACAACATGTGTCATTAATAGGTCTAGTTCCTTTCATGAAAAGTTGTGAACAGATATTTCACTATTTGGGGCTATTATGTGCAACGGTATTATTGTTCTACATTATTTTTTAGATGTATGGCATGACTGACCACATTATTATTTGTCATTTTATATCTTTTTTTTTTTTTTTTTTTTTTTTTTTTTTTAGCAGTTCTACAACGTACAGTACAGGATCAGTTTTCAAGGATTTATTTTAATAACCAACCACTGAAATAACCACTTCCAATTTTTGAGAAAGGCTGTCTCATAGATATATGTATTGCATCTCAATTGCGTTAAAAAAAGAAAAATCATCAAAAATATTTAAATCATTAAAAAAGAAATGAAACTTTCTATAGCATATCTAAAGGGATACTTTATACAACAGTGTGACTTGTGTCAAGTCATTTTAAAAGAAATTCCCTTCAGTTCAGTTACTCCCTGTATTGTTCAACCTTGCATCTTTAAACAGTTTATCCTTGCCAGTCTGATTTGCAATGGTGTCCCACCACCTTTATAACGCACATCTACAAATCGCTGTATAGACACAACGATACATTTCATGTTTACACTACGCATAGTGCTATATACACATTATATAATATCATATTTATATTTTTTATCATGTAAACCAGCACATTCTCTCACTTTTTAGTAGTATACATACTAAGCACAAATACTCATTCAGCTTTTCTTCTTTTGATTAGCAACCTTTTTTTTTTTTATCAGTATGTATAGCACTAAATATTGTACTTTTTTTTACTTCAGTAAACCTACTAGGGTAAGCCAAGAAGGCACATCCTGATAGGATACTCAAACACTGAATAAGGCGTCTTTGTACTTAGTGTGCAAACTAATAAAGTCGAAGGAGAAATCAGTGATGTAAACATTCAATTTCATGTGTGTTACAGAGGAGAAGATTAGATAAATGGGGAAGAGAGAGAGAGAGAGAGACAGGGATAATCTGTTAGAAAAAATGAAGGAGGTTTGCCAAGGCTGGGGCAGCACGAGGCCCCATGCCCACACACAGAAGAGCTAGGCTGCACAGTATTGAGGGGCTGGGGGACAGGGGGACCTGGTCTTCGAAGAAAAAATAAAGAGAGGGGGAGAGAACAAAATAGGTCTTCAGTCTCCCAGCACACCAGAGGGCCATGGGTCCCCCTGGGATCCCCAGCGATGGCAGCGCCAACCCGAACACGAGACACAGACAGACGACACACTCAGGTACACATTGGATACACAGTCCAAAAACTGACACGCAAACTATTTTGAGTTTTTAGCCACGAGGCGAGTTGTGGGAGTTTTAGCAGGAAAAGCAAGCTGAACTCCTCCACCAATCAGAAAGGATAGCTTGGGAGAAGTAAATGAGTGTATCAGCGGAGGAAGAGCGAGAGTAAAAAGAGGAAGAGAGCACCCGAGAAGAAGAGGGAAGGATCTAAATGAGGTGGAGACGCTTGTCTGATGTGGTACCATCCATACCTCTGGGAAAATTCAACAGAGTTCAACATACTCTTTTTGATTTACCACCACCCCTCTCTCAGGTGTTAATCGTAATATGACCTCTACCATCACCATATACAGAAGTGGTACCCCTGTACGGTGAGCCTTGGATGCTCTCTCCCTCAGCTATGCTGCTGGCTGCATCACAAAAAGACAGGCTGCAATGGAGCTCTATTAAAGGAGCACAACTACAGAGACTTGGGTTCAGGTAAGGGCTCTACATTCAGATCAGTGAGGTGTACATTCCATTACTATAGTATACGGTATAATCTAGAACCTGGAGTAAATGTCTGATTCTGCTCTGTCCTTGGCTGGGTTGCACTTACAGACATGTTCAGATAGTACAAATAGTGCAGAGTATTGGCTGGGATGGATTATGTGATCTTGCTCTGGAGAGTGAGTTTTCATAGGGTAAGTATGCCTTGAAATTTACTTCATGACATAATAGCGTTAGTTGTCATAGGCCCATTTATGTGCCATTGGTAGGATAGGAAGTGACTGCCATCCTAGATTAGTGTAACCAGGTTGTGAGAGTGGCTAGCTCAGAACCTATAGAGTAAAGCAGCCAACAGCATAGCAGAGTTGCGTGGCAGAGTAGCGGGAAGAAGTTGAGAGAAGAAACATGATTACCTCGTTAGAGTGCATAGATGAAATTAAGGAAGCACTAAAATTACAAAAAACAAGATTTTTTTCTTTTCATTTTCGATTATGTAAACTCTAAGCTGTTCCAAATATTTTTTTGTTTTTGTATTTTATGTCATAACACACAGTTTTAACATCCACAATTTTGCTAATATTAAGCAGGTTTTGCTATATACCGTACAACGTAATGGCGAATACAGCTTGCAGTTCCACCAGTAGTGACCAAGGGGGTACAAAAAAACGACACGCACGCAGACACACACACCACAACGACCAACGGAGGGAGCAAGGTTTGCTACAGAGGTCTCGCCCGCCCACACGCCCATTGGCTCTCAACGGGACCACGATGAGTCACAACAAAGTCAGGAACACAGACAGGAAGCAGCTTTTTGTGTTCAGATAAATGTTATGTTGTTTCGTTGCTTTTTTTCTCCATCCCTCCAACCCCTGCTAGCTTCCTCGGGAGTATCCTCAGTTGAAAGAGAGAAGGTCAGTTTCTTATTCCAACGTTAAAAATGTAAACATGACGAGGTGCCTTGGTTGAGGTACTGAGGCAAGTCTGGGGTGGTACGAGGGTTCTAAGGCGAGGCCAGCCGAGTCACCGTCAGCGATGCAGGCTCTTCTGGGCCTCCTTTAGCAGGGTGTCAAAGTCCAGGGCGTCATACTTGCTCTTCACCGGCCCTGGTCCTGCTTCGTCTGGAGAGAGAAACACACACACAGCTTTGTTAGAACAGTGTCATCATGACCATCAACATTACATGGAGATACAACTTGTACAATATCTTAGTATTGCCACCATCCAACAGTTCATACTCCTTAAAGGTAATACACATAGGATTGTTATTTTATTTTTGCATTGTAACTTCAGAAAAAATTCCATAATATATCTGCCGCTAATAGTGAAATGATAGTATTTCACAGTATTACTTACCCGCCAGTGTTGTGATTGGCTGTGATATTTGCCTATTTATTTCTCCCGTCAGAGCGGCATCTGTTGTCAAACTGGGAAAGCTATTCTGGCTTTGTGGCTGTTTTATCTAGTGGAAATCTCTAATTTCCTTGTTGCTAAAATTCTACAGTTCTCTCAATTTCAGTTTATGTGAGAAAACAAGCACTGAATAGTGTAGGGAATCATTGTACCCTCTAAATCGCTGTGAAATATATTTTCAAGAACAAAAAATATAGTTTTACAGCTGTTTGAAGCTGATGGACCAAAACGAAAGTTACAGTACTTTCGGTTTTGTTCTAGCGGCTTCAAAAAGCTGTTTTGGTCCACCAGGTTCAAACAGCTGTAAAAAAAATATATTTTTTGTTCTTGAAAATACAGTATATTTCACAGCGATTTAGATGGTACAATGATTCCCTATACTATGGTTTGACTTTACTTTGACTGTATCTCTGCTTACCCAGATCTATGTATCTCTTCCTGCTGAGCCTGTGCATACCACCCCCTCCGTTCTGGAAGAGCGGCTCTCGTCTGTGCCGCTGGATCTGCTGCCCGCTGGGTGCCGGACGGAACTTGATGACTCCACAGCGTTCCCTATGCGCACACACACACACACACACACACGTGCAAACACATGCACACACACACACAAACACATGCGCACGCACACGCACAAAGACAGAGGGATGAGTTTCAGCACGTGGTCCTCACTTTCACTGCATTCCGTACTCTGGAAGGTCACAGACGGGCCAGACAGGCTGATAAAAAGGACCTACTCGTGTTTGGTGATGACTTTGCAGTCCTCCGGGTCTCCAAAGGCCTCGAAGCGTTTGCGCAGCATCGTTTGTGTGACGCTGCTCGGCAGGTTGTGTATGTAGAACACTTGGCAGTTGTCCTAGGCAACGACACAATGGCAACTGTCAGAACAAGACACTTGCCGCAGTGGCAAATCATGCCAACTTCACACACTGTGAAACTCATAATAGCTCTTAATTGGTGTTTACCTCGTCAATTTGAAACACAGACTTGGAGATTTTGTTTCTCTGCTTGTCTCCGTGGCACATCTCAGAGTTCTCACAGCTGAGGAGGAGAGAGACACAGTATAAGACGGGAGCTAATGGAAGAACCTGAGTCACATGCCAATGAGAGGAGACAGTCCTCCTGGCTGTGACTGCTAATCAGACAAACAGTGGTTTATATTCTCACCTGAAGTCGGGCTTGCTGCTAGGCGAGTGGGGCTGGCAGCAGCCGGAGTGGAGGATGGGGGAGGGTGAACGGGAGGAGCGTTCCCCCTCTTCATCTGAGTTATGGGGGGATAAAGCGTCCACCTTGCTGTCAGCCCTGTTACCGTTACTCAGGTACTCTGGCACCTTGGAAAAGAGCCTGTCTTCATGCTGCTGTTCCAGCCTCTTGTCCCCCTGGACCCTGGGGTCAGCCCTGTCCCCCTTAGGCTCTGGCCCCTCCGGAGAGGGGCGTCCAAACAGTGAGTGGGACAGCATGGCGGTGGTTCTCTTCCGGCTCTCCCCCAGACTCAGCAGGCAGTAGTCGTGGTCTCCGAACGTCCTGTGGACTTTGGGTTCTGCATCGATGGCCTGGCCCATCTTGCGGAGCTGGGCGTAGAGTTCAGTCTGCTCGGGGAGCTTGCGGGAGTGGGCCCGGGTCAGCCACGAGCCCTTCGGGGGGGATTCTCCTTTCCCCTCTGGCTTGAACAGCTCGTCCTCCACTTGCTTGTGAGGGGGGGTGGTGGGAGGGGTGAGGCCTGAAAACACACACCACTCCAATAAGTCAAATGTACCTCACAGTACAGTTGGGTTAACATTAGAGAAACATCAACAGTTCAGACAATTTCACTGGTCACGTTTTAAAATCTTGCTAATATTTAACTGTTACTGGGTGTACTGTCTGTTACTCTGTTCACTTCTATTTGTCTTTCAATGGCTTTCCCAATACAACAAATTGCTTTGATGCTGTTATTTTGTAACATTACAGTAACACAGCGACTTGATACGGCACAAGGCGAGCACACAATCTCATATTGATTTGAACTGAAGTGCGTATTTGACTTTCAATTGTTATTAACATTATGGCTTTTGAGGAAGATATCAGCGGCAGACACTGTAAAGTATTGTTATATCAGTCTTCTCCGTTCCCAAGTAGCTATACAACCAAATTAGCCCTGTCAAGATGACATTTACACAGGAGACAGATCACGTCATTAGACTCCAGGCATGCTCTTTACAACACAATACAAATGCATTCCCCCTCTCCTCTACTACCGAGCTCTGTGTTAGCAATAGTATATCTACAAGAGATAAACTAGTCTACAATACAGTTTGTTAGCTAGCTAGATTTTATTTCCCTCTAGACACGCTTCTTCTGACAGACACAATAGGATATAGCTCCAAAATGCTGCTCTTATTCAGTCTTGTCAAGCCAAGGTGTAAAAGACGTTACTATTATCAACACCGACTCAAAGCCCCAACATTACCTGCTGTGCCACACAGATCCACGCTGAGAGTCTGCTCAAAGGGCTTGTTGGCATACTGTGTGTCTCTGATCACGGGGAAGAGAGAGAGAGAGATTGCAGAGTCATCATCAGGGCCAGGGGTGCAGGGGTCGAGGTAGAGGGGCGACAAAAGGATGTACTGCACAGTACTATGATTTTTTTAAAGGATTTCTTTTGTAGGGTTTATGTTGGAGTTTGTATTACATTTTTATTGTGAACGTGAGCTATATGAGAATAGCTTTTCTTTTTTTCCCTTTACAGCCGTCTATGATTGGTCTTACAGTACAAGCTCCTTCTCCTTTTGAGGTCTATTTTGGGATCTGTGTTACCATGAAAGGCTTGTGTGGAGTGCTTTGGGGATATTACAGAGTCCACAAAGCAGCACAAAACTCTATGTGAGCCACAGAACACCACAGTAATTTTACACATGGAAGATTTCCAGAAGTGTACATTAAAAATAGCTTTGTGATTCCAGTGGGGCTATGGGCTAGCAGTATATGTATTGTAGTGTATAGGAGTATAGTATGGAAAACAAACCCAGTAGATTTCAGCGGCAGACAGAGGCAGGCGCGTTTCTCTGCAATCAGAACGACAGAAAGAGTCATTGGTACCAATGATTACATACATGGTCAGAGAACACTACAGCAGGTTCAGCAGGTATAAAAACAACCTTTTACCAGCCTTTTATCAGTGGCACTTGTGTTTTTCATTCACATCAAATTGAAGAAAGATACCGCATGATGGAGCCATGTGGACTGAAAAATCAGGACATGCCTTGAGAGCTTGGGGGTTTCTGACATCGTCGCCATCTTACCGTTCTGACAGCAGAGGTTATCGGATTCGGCTGCGTTTGCCGTGGTTTGGGAAGTGCTGTTGTTATTGGCGGCGGAGTCCTTCTCCGGGTCGTCTCCCAGGGGGTGTTTGACCGCCTTGTCCTCCTCGCCAGGGCGCCGCGCCCCGGACGCAGGCTCCACCCTCACCTGGCCTGCACGCACCTTCTTGGCGAAGCGGCTGGGGAAAGAGGCGAGCCTGCGGGAGCGGCGGACAGAGAAGGAGGCGTCCTCCAGGTCAGGGCTCAGAGGGGCCTCTAGGCCGCACTCTTTCATAAGCTCTGGTTTGGTTGAGCTGGCAGCCAGGCTGGGGGTCTCAGTCTTTCTGTCATGCACTGGCTTGGTGATAGCTCCTCTGTTATGGGTGTAGGGGGGGCTGTGGAGTCTGTAAGGCTTGCTCACGTCAAAGGAGTTGACCGCTTTGAGCAGTTCGCGCAGGAGAGAGTTGGCTTTGACCTCCCGTCTGCGGGTGAATGCGAGGCGCGGCCGAGGGGTGCTGCTTTGGGCCTGGGGGGCAGCCTTGTGACAGTTCGGGGGGATCAGGAACGGGGTGCACTCGGGCCTGACCCTTCGTACCTGGCCTAGGCACTCACGCTCCTTGCGCTCCCAGACGGCCTGCTTGCGCGCTGGCAGGCAGTATGTGTGCATATACTTGATGAGCTCCACCACAGATTTGAGTTCTTTCTCAGAGGAGAACTGGGGCTTGGTGGGCTCAAGGGGAGTGGAGCGTTCACTCTCACTGCTCGAGGACTCCTCCTCCTCCTCCTCTTCTTCCTCCTCGGACTCACTGTCCTCCTCGTCATCATCTTCCTCCTCGTCCTCCTCATCCTCTGTGTCGGCTGAAGGAGTGTCCTCCGCCTCCTGTGCGCTGGTCAGGTGCCGGTGGAGCTCTGTGCACAGACGTCCTGCTGGTCGCACCGCTCGGGGCTTACGCTCCTGTGTGCTTTCACGCTACAGAAAGAAAGAGTTAGAGTTACTACCTATAAAATGACCTTGGTGAGCCTCTGTGCACTGTATGACCCAAAATATTAATGAGTGTCTAGGCAATGAGAAGATACAGTGCAGAGTGAACATTTTGAACTTATGAGTAACCAAAACCAGCACAGAGAGCAACAGAGATTCATACCAATGTTCCCAGAATCACGACTCAGAGAGAGAGAGAGAGAGAGAGAGAGAGAGAGAGAGAGAGAGAGAGAGAGAGAGAGAGAGAGAGAGAGAGAGAGAGAGAGAGAGAGAGAGAGAGACAGAGAGACAGAGAGACAGAGAGACGAGAGATATTCTATGATGCACTTTATATAACCACCAGCTCATTGCCAGAGCTGCCCTAGCCTTTCCCCTGGTCGAGACTACAGCCATCTGTCACTCCAAAGCCTCAGCATCACTCACTCTAATGCCACAGATGTCACATGCCTCGGCCACCACCACAGTAAAGGAAAAGCCAGGGTAGGACAGGGGTAATAAATGAGAAAATAAAGGCTTAAGGTTACTAAAAGCTTCACTCCGTTGATCTACATGCATGCGCGTGGGTGGAATGGGATTTTTGGAGCAGTGGACACCTTTTGGTAACATGATGTCCACATCGGTCCCAGTCCCATTCACAAGAGGGAGAAAGCTTTTTTGCTAGTAGTAGCTAGCTGGCAGCCTGGCTAGCTGTCTTAAGCCTCACTAAAAACATAGTAAGCTAGCTAGCCTTTTTAGCTTTCCACATCTCCATGTGAAATAATCAGATTTATAATAAAAAAATATGCCCAGGCAAATATTTGTATACTTGCCGGAGTAACCTAAAACATTATCCCAGTTTGATATGCTGTTTGTGTATTAATGCCGATATCAGCTAAAAATAGAATGTCATCATGTTTTGGTCATGGAGAAAAAAGCACCTGGCTAGCTGGTTGGCTATAGCAAGTTCTACCATTTCACAATAGCCTGGAATCACTAGTTATTATTTCTAAACAAAATACCTTTTTGAGTGGATTCTTGTTGTTTGGTTTACTGTTTGAACAGCTGCTGAGATTATATTTGGTTATCAATGCAAAATAGGCTACCTATACAGCCTATATATCAGATCAAGGAACCAAACACTGCTGCGGAAAGAAGGATACGGCACATCTCCATTTTCAGGTAGTACAAATGTACGTCGAATTCCGGAGCGAATGCCACCCCTTCTGTGACGAAAAACTACCTTGCACCACTACACTGCGCTATGCTCCGAATCTTGTGTTTCCCGTAGAGCTTGTAGTATGTTTTAGTCTTTAAAAACACTATAATCAAAGCATTACCTTGGTGATTAGGTCCTCTATTCAACCCATATCCTGGATCCGGATGGCAGAGCAGTGAATGAACTAGAAACGGACTAAGGGTCATAGCTATAGAAAACCTTTCCTGTCGTCTAGCCTATGTATCCGCTCTCCCTCGCTTTAAGTCTCTCGTGTTGCCTTCCCTGCTCTATTCTGAGCTGCTAGAGCTCTATGCTAGACAGAGCTCTATTCCAGAACACCACACACAGAGCTCCAACTTACTCACCTTAACCAAAGGCCTGACAGGTTTCAGATGCAGGCTCCTGCTGCAATGGCGATGCCCGCTGTTGCTGCTGCCCTCTTTGTGTGACTCCAGGCCCGTGGGCACGTTAGGGGGGGACAGCAGGAGCTTTTTCAGCTGTAGGGGGACATGGGTTGGGACAACTGTAATGTACATGTCTGCCAATCAATCAATCAATCAGCAGAACATACAGTAGCATCAACATGTATTATCACTCTTGACATGACTCATCCACCCGTAAATGTATTTCCCCCGCTTTCTTCTCCTCCTTCATCCAGCGTTTGAACAATATAGAGCTCAAACCGAAGCTGGCAGGAGGAAGCCGTGTGAATATAAGATCAAACGGAAATGCGATTCTATAGCTCTCCCGCATTTTGCAATGAGGAGGTAATGCTGTAGTATTGCATATCAAATGGAGATTTTACTTCCTCGCATTTCATCCATTACACTTTGAGGCAGCAGCAGCAGCATCGCATGTGAAATCATCAGATGATATAAATCTGCTTACAACAACAATCCCGTAAGCTGCATTGGTTTTGGCAAAGACTGAGGATAGCACCGGAGCGCCTACTGTAGATGTGAGGGAATGATGCGGCTGGTTATGTTTGGCTGATAGCTAAATACTGTCTGGTCCTATATGTCATGCTTAGAGCCCTTGTTGAAACAGATAATGAAATAGATGAGAAGAACAGTGCTAATTGAGTTGCCCATCCCTGTCAGCATGTGCCAACTTGGCATGGGCTTCGATGGTGCCTCTCAGTGTTTCATTGAGGAAGTTAAGGGGTGCTGAAGGTTTCCATCTTTGTGTACAAAATGCTGTTGACACGCCAGGCCCATCCATGCCATGAAAGACTACTCTACTCTGGCCCACTTCCTGGCCTGCCTGGCTCAATGCAGCCCTTGTTCTCTGCCTGCATACAACCTCGCACGCGCACACACTGCCTCGCACACACAGGCACGCACGTAATGTTAGGCCCCCCATCTTGGCGGTGTAGAGACAATGTTGCATTTTTGAGCCAATTTACTGCAATTCTACGCATTTCTCCATGGAGCTGAGTGGAATTTTTGCAGTTCTAAAGATAATTTCCTACAATGCTACACATTTTGCCATGGCTAATGCTATGTTCTTTTTCTCAAACATAATAACAAAATCAATACTGCTAAATCAATTGTTTTAGGAATTTTCAATTCTCTTGGACTGTCTAGCTGTTATTTTGGTGATTGTTAGTTCTCAGAGATTATATTATAAAACAAATATATAGGTTCATTCTCTTTTCTACATACTTTATATTTGGTTTTAGTCGTTTAAAAGTTGACACTGAAAGCCTTATTCCATCCCGATAATTTTTGGTAATTAAATCATTGGCCCAAAAAATGTTTTTACACTGTTTGGTCTTAGGCGGCCCGATAAAACACCCACCCAAAGATTTAAATGGCCCCAAAAAACCTACACACACACACACACACACACACACACACACACACACACACACACACAACACTGAGGTCAGCTGCAGTTACAGCTCCTGCCAGCAGAGGGAGTCCTCCTCCTCTCACACACCAGTGATGACAACACCAGGGTCACATGCAACAAATCCTCTAGGCTGTCTCTCTGGGATGGAAAGGGACTGACAGGTAGGGAGGGAGGGAGGAAGGTGGACTGGTACATGTCACCATGTTAAACCACATTTCACCATATGGATGGGCCTTTTTTTGTGTGTCTAAAAACAGTGCAGGAAGTTATGAACATTATAATGAAATGGTGGCATCTCATTGGCCATCATTCCACTCTTCTAGCCTATAGGATCTACGGTATGTATATTTGTTTACCTCTGCATTACTTAGCATGCACAACAACAGAAGCAGAATACCAGTTTTTGCTAATTTTGTCTTATTGCTGTTATCAGTGCCAACTGATACCAACTCCTATTAAGATTCTTAAGCCATCTAAGGACATCATGAGGGAAATGTAATCCATTTGTGAAAAATTCCCTTCAGTGGGTATATATATATATATATAGTCTGTATGTTATCCTGTAATTGCAATTATCTCTGAGAGGCAGAGTGAGTATGGGCAGTGAGTGACCATGCAGGTATGCACATAGCTTGTTTCACTCAGAGCTGTAACACAATAGGACCTTTGTAACCCTTGCCTTGATAATGTGAGATCTCTGTGTCTCTTTAAACCCGGTCCAAAGTTTGTGTCAGTTTGAAACTTAAGGAAACTTAAGGAAGTATGTTAGCTTCATTGTGGACAAGAACAATGAGGATATATTCCAGAAGTAATAAAAGGACATACAGTATATTACACCAGACTTCCTAGTTAACTTGCATGCTCATCCGAGCACACCGAATAGCAACCGGACAAATGTTTCCCAATGTAATGAAATCCTATCGTATTCTCTGTAAAAGATACCAGTTTTCTGTTGCAATCCAGAGCAAGCATGAGTAGATAGGGACAACAGTTGAAAAGAAAAACATGTTTTTCCTGGAAGCGTGGTTCTGAGAGGAGAGGGGTGCGGGGAGACAGGGGTGGAGAGAAAAGGGAGGGAGGGTCACAGGGTACTCTGCATCAGGGTTGGCTCCACAGTTTAACTGCTGGAGCTATAGGAGGCTGGGCTAGGTCCTAGGAGGCAGACATGGGCATGAGAGTAGTATATTACCCCTTTAAGATGGCCAGGGAGTGAGAGAGAAGTAGAACAATGGGGGCAAGGGGAAAAAAGGTAGATTTAATGAGAGCCACAGTTCCTTTAAGAGACCATAGTTGTGGTCCAGCCAGGTTGCCTGCCTGTGCCTGCCGATAAAAAGCATTCTTATTAGAAGTAGTGGTTGCTAAAAAGAATGGAAAAGCCCAAAATGAGAAAAATTCAGACCTTTGTTGCCTATCATACCCATGCTGTGGGGTAGTCAGAGCAGAGGCCCATCCAAATCCACCTTAAACAGTGAGGAAGGGTTCTTACTAGAGACGGGTCTTCAGTCTCTGAGCTCAGGGAGCCGTCACTCAGGGAGCCTGAAGGGAAGGGGAGGTCCTCCTCAGACCCCTCCCCCAGCGAGGGAAACACAGACAGCCCCCCCACCTCGTCCTCCACCATGCCGTCCAGGCTGTCTGTGAGAGCAGCCAGCAGTGCCGCATTCTCATCTTCTATCTGGAGGGGGCAGGAGAGAGAGAGGGGGCATCAGTGAACACACTACCCATTTACAACACAGTTAGTTACAACACAGTTCATTCCCCTCTTCTAGGGGGCAGGAGGGGGAGTAAGTGAGCATACCACCCACTTATAGTACAACACAGATGAGTTCCTTACAACACAGAGCACTCTGCTTTTAAATTCTACTCTTTCCCTGTAGTCTGAGGGACGCCAACCATCCACACACTGGGTTGTTCGTTTCAACAGCTGCCATCTTGCTGAGAGCATCGAATCAGGTGGTGGGATGATAGCGGAGCGGAGACAGCCTACAGGAAGTGAGCGAGGTTTCATCTTACACCCCCCACCCCCAATCTGAAGGTTAAATGAACTAAGCTGGGAGATCAATGGCTTCCACACTGGCATCCAAAACAAGGCCCGGAGGTAATCGTCCCAATCCAACCTCTACTCTACCCCTCATAAATCAATCTGAACAAGGGATTATAATCAAGTGGATGGTAAGGTAAAATAGACCCAGGAACAACAGTGTTGTGTTGGTGGGGCCCGGCTCACTCAATCACTGGATGATGTTTATGAACACATTATGTGAGATCTGTGCATTAGACAGATCGATAACGATCACTGAGGGGGATTCTAAGATGGGAGTCTACAACCTTATCATAGACTCAGACTGGAGCTTCTTCGGTTTACCACTAATCTGTGTAGTCTAGTCCTACGCCATAGGAGTCTACAGCCATATCACGGGGCTATTCTCTATGTTGCAGTTCCATTACATAGGGGTGGGAGGAGATGGTCCTGGTGGAATCCTAGCCTGGTCCCAGATCAGTTTTCAAGACAGCACAAACAGATCTGGGACCAGGCTAGTGGAATCCTGAGCGGGGGGCCGAGCGTCTCACCTCAAAGAACTCGGGGTCTCCTGTGCTGTACTGGATGGAGGCAGCGGAGATGTCTGATTGGTCGTTGCACCAGTGGAGCTCGCTGAGGCAGTTGACTGAGTCAAAGTCGCTGGCGTCCAGCTGAGAGAGGTCAATGTCAGGGAAGTCAGAGTCCAGGCAGTCCGAGCAGACCTCCTCCTCCCCATACTGTAGAGAGAGAGAGAGATAGGGAAGGAGGGAGTGGAGGAAGAAGAGGGTGGAAAAGTCAGCTTACATCAAAGGGTGACACATTTTCAAGAAATACAGTACATTGAAGATATCTTATCAAATATCAAATTGTTTGGAAAGTTCATGGGACTGATCATCAGCATCAGTACACTCATGTTAATGACACAGGGAGTAAACCACTACAGTACAGTACAGTGTGGATGTCAATGACACAGAGCCCTCTGTAAGAGACAGTTCCCCCTAATCTCTCTGCACATGCTCATTACAACTAATGGACATAGTGCTGAAACATGCGCCACATAGACAGACCAGAGTCACGAGACTGAGACCACCATCTCCTAATGAGCCCTTAGTGAAAGCGTGATATAATATAACACAGATGACTTGGCGGTCCACGGATAGTAAAAGTATTTAGGGGAATAGGCCAGTGTGAAGGGAAGTGACTCTAGTCACCTGGGGGGAGAGATGGAAACCACATTTCATGGAGAGAGGGACAGAACTGGAAATAGGCTATGCCTGTAGAGAGTGGAGCTGGAGAGGAGGACATGGAGGAGACTTGTACTGTCAGTGTGTGTGTGTGTGTGTGTGTGTGTGTGTGTGTGTGTGTGTTTGTGTGTGATGCTGATCGCCTTCTCCACCTGTTGTCTTTGGCATGCCAAAAGGGGGGACACTCGTTTACAGGGTGTACCTGACTTTGACAATGCAGTTTGCAGGAGGTCCCTAGCCTAGCCTAACCACAACCTGAATATTCTGTGCCATAGAGCCCTAGCTATGCATCTTTGATGAGTGACTAACACTAAATACTCCAGCTCTGTTTCACGTCGCACCTGCCTTCGCTAACCAATCCAATCCAATTCCACTCATTTCATTAAACTGGCCTGGGGTCAGCCCGGTTTCAACCAATCATCAGCCATCACTTACAAAGATGCTTTCTGGGGACAATGAGATGGGAACAAGTAGAACAAGTGTCATTTCGTCCTTGTGAAAAAGACACCTTTCTAACACACATTCCATTTCCAGGACATAGATGTGCCACAAACTATCGGTGCCTCGTTGTCTAGTTAGTGAGATGTACCCAAACCTTATCACAGGAAGGCTGTGTTCTCTTTGATATAACACCAACCCTCCGTGCCATTGTAGCAACTCTACAGTATGTGTGTTGGATCAAAGATTAGGGGGTAATAAATTGATACCATTTATGAGTTCATAAATTGCAGATGTAGAGCAACACAGTTGTTTGTGTGTGTGCCATTGTAATGAGCAAATGACTGGTTACTCAAGCAAACTGAATGATTATGTTCTATGACAGAGAGAGAGAGAGAGACAGAGAGAGAGGGAGCGAGAGAGAGAGAGAGAGAGAGAGAGAGAGCTGTGGTGGCAGCCTGGCTGGTGTGATATCTCAGAAGTTGTGAGAAGAAAGGACAGGAAGAAGGAGAGAAATGGATGGGGAGAATGCCTTCTGCAAGGCCCTCTTCATCCCCACATCCATCCATCCCTTCTGCAGGTCTGACTCACCCCCCCCCCCCCCCCCCCCTAGCTAAGTTTACCCCTCCACCTCCCCCCTCCATCCTCCTTCTCTCCCTCTAGTCCCTCTCAGGAAAATAAGAGGCCAGGCTAATCAATTTCAACAAAGTCCGAGCGTTCTTTATTTCCAGGCAGGCTTTGTCTTTTTTACCTGTTTTTCCCCCTCCCTTCTCTCCACTCTCCTTTGCAGACTGCCCGGATATCAATCAATAAAAACATCCTTGGGCTCTGAAGGTTTAAGGTCACAGGCAGAACGGTCAGGCACACACACAAATACACACACGCGCTTGCACAGACACACACACTGTACCCAGACACACAAGCACACACACTGACTGCTAACGCATTTGCAGTATATTGAAGGATGTGACATAGACATGCATAATGACCCATTATCAGGAGCAGTGACAGCAGCCATGCTCTATTAATTTATTTTATTTACTTCACCTTTATTTAACCAGGTAAGCCAGTTGAGAACAAATTCTCATTTACAACTGCGACCTGGCCAAGATAAAGCAAAGCAGTGCGGAAAAAACAACAACAACACAGAGTTACATATGGAATAAACAAAACGTACAGTCAATAACACAATAGAAAATCTATATACAGTGTGTGCAAATGTAGTAAGTTATGGAGGTAAGGCAATAAATAGGCCATAGTGCAAAATATTTACAATTATAATTTAGTATTAACACTGGAGTGATAGATGTGCAGAAGATGATGTGCAAATAGAGATACTGGGGTGCAAATGAGCAAAATAAATAACAATGTAAATAACAATATGGGGATGAGGTAGTTGGATGGGCTAATTACAGATGGGCTGTGTACAGGTGCAGTGATCGGTAAGCTGCTCTGACAACTGATGCTTAAAGATAGTGAGGGAGATAAGAGTCACCAGCTTCAGATATTTTTGTAGTTCCAGTCAATTGCAGCAGAGAACTGGAAGGAATGGTGACCAAAGGAGGTGTTGGCTTTGGGGATGACCAGTGAGATATACCTGCTGGAACGCATACTACGTACGGGTGGGTGTTGCTATGGTGACCAATGAGCTAAGATAAGGCAGGGATTTGCCTAGAAGAGATTTATAGATGACCTGGAGCCAGTGGGTTTGGCGATGAATATGTAGTGAGGGCCATCCAACGAGAGCGTACAGGTCACAATGGTGGGTAGTTATGGAGCTTTGGTGACAAAACGGATGGCACTGTGATAGACTACATCCAATTTGCTGAGTAGAGTGTTGGAAGCTATTTTGTAAATGACATCGCCGAAGTCAAGGATCGGTAGGATAGTCCGTTTTACGAGTGCATGTTTAGCAGCATGAGTGAAGGAGGCTTTGTTTGCGAAATAGGAAGCCGATTCTAGATTTAACTTTGGATTGGAGATGCTTAATGTGAGTCTGGAAGGAGAGTTTACAGTCCAACCAGACACCTAGGTATTTGTATGTAGCAGAGGACATAAGAGTGGCAGATTGAATCACATACCAGAACCACACCATTGCCTTATTTGAAGAGGATTTGGCCTCTGGCCTCATTTAGTCATATCACATGCTGCTCACACACTGTCTGTGGGGATAATGGGAGGGAGGCTTGGAAGCCACTCCACTCAACTCAAGGGTCTTCTCCTTTGACACTCCACCCACCAATCCACACTGGTGGCCATTCAACTGAACTGAACATCAAGGCCAAATTCAGTAGCCAAACGTTGTTGAACGTTGCAGATAGAAATGACACAAATAGAGCCGACATGATTCCTTATTCTACATGTCAGAAAGGGGTGTTTGTTCTACTTAGCATATTTCTATCGGAACTTTCCAAAACTTTGTGTCCTGCTAAACGTGCCCCAGCTCAGGAATCAAAATGCAGGAATCATCTAAAGCCATGTGTGGATGGTTGCTAACTCAAACAAGGTTTTTCATAATAATCAACGTATCAAATGCAGAGTAGATATTATTGTCCTGTATGCCTCTAAAAGGAAATTAGTCATTCGACAAAATAAGCTAGACACTTCGGTGTTCTAAAGGGGCATTAGCAACTTCCAATTAAGACATGAAAACAGTGTTAGCTCAACCCTGTTTATTTATTTCACCTTTATTTAAGCAGATAAGTCAATTGAGAACCAATTCTCATTTACAATAACAACCTGGCCAAGAGGCATAGCAGGCCCTGTGTACCATGGAACTACACACAGAGAGAATTATGCTAATGTACGTAGGCTGCCGCATCGTTATTAATCCAGCCGCAACCTACTATCAAGAACACCACCACCATCCTTTCAGCTCTTCTGTTCTCATCTCTGCGTTCTTTCTTTTTCTGTCTTCCTCCTCATACCTTATTCTCTCGCTCCCTCTCAGCTGCTATGGGGGGCATGTATACCACCACCTCTCAAATATGTGGCATCAACAGAAGGCCTAAGGTGACCAGAACACAGGGGAAATAAATGAGTATGGAATATGTCAATTATGCACCCATTTAGTTGTCCCTGTCTGCTTACAAACAACAGTCTTAATATGCTGCATTCAAAATAGGAAGGGAGGGGGTGACAAAAAAAAGAAGAGAATCAATGCTTTGTTGAATTTCCATTTGTGTTCGCTTAGGCGACACTTTCCTATCCGTTCAGTCAAAAACGGCAATGACATCTATATCGACTACACAAAAAACTAATTATAGACGGCATATGAAGGATCTCTAAAGCGTGAGTTGTGTTATATAAAACTCGCAGTCACAAGTGCAGTCATGTGCTACAAAGTCAGTGGAACGAGTCGCACAGTGCGGGTCATTGCTGCTCTCTCTCTCCCAAAGCACAACCATACAAGGAAAACCTGTAGGCTAGTGAGGACAGGGAGCATTGACTACTGTTACAACTACTGTTACAACAGTGGCACACAGTGCCATCTCTGAGATTTACCAACACAAGATCACTGTGGTGTATGGATTGTCAATGAAGAAACAACTACAGTACAATGACATCTTAAAAGGACGAGGCCAAGGAGGGTGTAAGCCAACTGAACTGACAGACAACTGTCCTTCACTTTAAGGTCTTCAAAAAGAGAAGTAGTAAACCCTTTGCCTTGAGTCATCTTACTATAACCATCAAAAGGGCTCAACTCCACATCAGAGAGAAAGAGTGAGCTCCTGTCCAACGACCATCCAACATTTGGGAATTTCTGATGAAGGGGGAGGAAAAAGGAGCAACCCTTGAGATTCAGCACTACCTACCAAGTCCTGTGATTTAATAAGCAAACAGGTTGCTCATTCATCTCCAACACTTGCTAGCTAATAGGCTCTTATCTAGGTTCCCTGTTCCCTTTGAGCCCCTTGCTATCTAAGGTATGTTATATATAGCTGTTATCCTCAGTCTTATGACTGGCTCTTACACAAGCTGCTTGGGACGGGCCAGCCAGGCTTTAAATTCTGGCCATCCCATACGCAGATGGGCTCTGCTCTATTCAGCCTCTCCTCTACAGGAAATAGACACACAGACAGCTAGACAGATAGAAAGCCAGACAGACATGCATACACACAAATACACACACTCGAGCTGATACTGTACATGCAAATGAATGGACTAGATGGGTTCAATCCAACGTCATCTTCAATTGGCTCATTGAATAAATCCACAACAAACATATACTACTCCTCTATGCGTCTCTGTAGTCCTTTACTATGAAGAGTAGTGATGAGTAGTAAAGTCTAGCTGTGAGGTCAAAGGTCAATGCGCACCCTGTCAGTTTCCCCTGACCCCCCAACCACATGACAGCAAGCCTAACGTGGCTAATATGACCCATCTCTAGAAACATATGGACTAACTGACTACCGACCAGAGAGAGACGCTTTTGATGAATGAAACTCAAAATTGGCAAGCGCTTGTCATTACCTGCCTGAGTTGTGACTTGTGAGTGGGGGCTATTAGATTTGTTCCTCATGTGAAGCCTCTCTGAAAAAAGGATGTCTCCTCTCTAACCATTCACTCCCCCAACAGTAAATGTGAATTAACTGCCTACGGTCGGTTAGTAGAAGTAGGCCAGTTAAAGGGGGATCTGCGACAGCCATGTACTATACACTCAATTACTGATTGTTCCTGTCATGGCCATCATTCAGTAGGATTGATCCGGAAGTCTTCCTTACAGGTCCAGTAAGCAGTTTGTTTAGCCTGGGTACAGTGTCCTTATGGCTTAAAATGGAGTGCCTGAGTGCTCCTCTCGCTCCCACTAGACATTGGCTCACTTTCAGCGCACCTTTTATCTCCCATGAAGCAACAGGTCGATTGCTGTAATTAGATATGCATCTTATTGAGCTCCTGTTTGAGAACCCAAGGAGAAGCCTCCAGGAAAAGTATTTGGGAAGTGTAGCTCAATAAAGTGAGAATGTATTGAGTCGAGTCCATCTTGCAAAAGAATACAGTTGGCACTACAGTTGGCTAACATAGACAAAATAATATCCATTGTGGCG